TGGCGGCACCTTCTCAATCCGATGCCTGTAAATTGCTCGCGGGCACCCCGGCAATTTCCACCTGCAGCGAATGGCACCCGCAGGTCGCCCTCCGGCAGCGGCAGATTTAACTCTGACTTCTTCAGATCCACCACAGGTGGTGTTTCTGCTTTTCCTGCTTTTTTTTTATTGTTTGGGCACGGGGGGGGGGAGGAAAACCCAATTCCAGTTTACTTTCTGGTCCAAAAAAAAACTTTCTGGTATGCCAGGGCATAAAACTCCCATGCAAAAAAAAAAACCCAAACCAGCAAAATATCAGCTCGTGCTGTCTGGCCAGTGCAGCTGGACGCTGCTTTGCCTTGATTTTTGCTCTTTTTGCCGGAGTATCCACCCCACAGCCGAGGACTGGGAAACCCGGTGCTGGGTGCGGATGCGTTTCAGCCACGTTTCCCCCTTGCTCTGCCCTTCCCCTCGCTCGGCTGAGGTCCCCAAGGAGTTTTTCTAAAGGGAAAAGCAAGCCAAGCCGCCCATCTCAGACGGTCGTGAGATAGCTGTCGGGGAGAGGCAAGGGGGAGACGCTGCTCCACAGCTCTGGAGAGGACAGCGGCGACTCAAACCTGCTCAATTCTCTCCCAGCAGCCGTACCAGCTCTGCCAGGGCTTCCAAAAATGTTCCTGTTCTCCATCCAGCAGCTTGGGGGTCATGTAGTGTCCCTGGGAGAGCAGGAGCTGCAGACAGGGGCGAGATATTTAGCAATTTCTAAATTCATGTCCCGAGCCCCCTGTCTTGCCTAGCAGGGGCTGCAAGAGTTTGCGGCGGGGGGAGCTGCTTCATCTGGGGCTGAAACACAGCTGCAAAGCGGGAGGCTTTGGGCTGGGGGGGAAAGATCTTCGCCCTAGGAAGCTTTTGCAAGTAAAAACTAAGCCCTAGGATTTAAATGTCTGATTTGGGGCTGAAGGAAGGAGAGTTCGGGGCCCCTAATCACCCTCGCCTGAGGGTTGTGTGCCCGGGAAGCCTTCTCCTCCCCATCCCACAGTTTGTGTAGGGGCGAGTGAGGCAAAGAAGTGGAAATGGAGCAGCTCCATCAAATCCTGCCTGTACGACCTGCCCCAACCTCCCCCTCCGAGGGACGGCAAAGGGCAGCGTCAAGGGGATAAACCTTCCCAAATCTCCCCCTTCCGCAGGCCAGCGAAGGGCAGAGTTAAGGTGGCAGCAGTTTCAGTGGCAGAAGAGCAGGTCCAGGGTGACAGCTCCTGGGGACAAGTGATTGGAGCGGATTTTGGATCAGTCTGAGGACATCTCCCCTACCCAGCAGCCCCTCGTGCCACCATCCCCAGCAGTAGCCCCAAGACACAGACGTCTGCGGAGACTTCCAGGAACCATCCTGTTCCGCAAGAGATTCCCAGGGACTTCCCCAGCCTCCCTTGGCCCCTCCACACTCCTGTCCCCATGGGAAATAACTTAGCAGCTCACAGCCCCAAACCAGGGGTGAAACCCCAGCCCCAGGTGGGGTCCCCACAACCCTGGGGACACTGTCCCCCGGCCAGGGCTTGCCATGTGACAGGCTTGCCACAAGATGGGGCCCAAAGATTGGGAATGCCAGCACACCTCCAGGCACTTGGAGGCTCCCTGTACCCTCAGGGGCACTTGCCTGACCTCGAAACCCCCACCCCAAGACCTTCTAGCCTTGTAGGTGGCCTTTTTGAGCAGTTGGGTGGGTATAGAGGGAGATGGGTCACTTCCCGGAGAAACAGGACTCAAGAGACGGGGAGGTTTTGCAGAGCAAGAGGGTTATCCTGAGGTTTTCAGCCCCTGCAAGACCCCAAAATTACCGTATTTCATGCAGGGAGTGATGCTGTGCTGTGATTTTGGAGGTGCCCCCACGTCCCCAGGCAGGGCTGTCCACAGGGGGATATGTGCCCCAAATGTGCCATCAGATGGGGCAGCCTGTCCTGCACCCAGGGTAGAGGGGGATCCTGGGGGTAAAGCCACGGGGTAATGGGCAACCCCAGAGCACCTGAGACCAGGGCTGGAGAGGGGACATGGGGTCATCACACTGGATTCCCCCTCCAGCACTGGGACCTACTCCACTCTCCATGCTCTTTTCAGACCAAGTTGAGTGAGATGGGCAATTGCCAGCTTCAAAGAGCACAGAAACATCTCTGGTGGCTTCAGGCTGCCCAGAGAGGAGCTGAAAGGAAAACCCACCCTTACAGCAGCTGCTGGTACACACAAATACTCTGTGAAGGTGTTAGCAAGGTGGAGAGGGCTGCATGGGGACTGCAATGAGATTGCCCCAGGCAGGTATGGTAGAAACCAGCTCTCCTGCAGCAGATACTAAGGGATGGCTAAATCCTGCCCTCTCTGGAGGCTTCAGCCTTGCAAAGCACCTTAGACATCCCACCTCCCACCTAGCACCCCAAAACCAAGGCCTGGGGGGTTGTACCTTGGAGGAGGAGGCCCCAAGGCAACTCATTCCCACCTGCCCTAACCATTAGATGGGACCTGGGAGGTGAACCCAGGTCCATGGGATGTGGGAGGATGGGGAGATGATGGTGGTCTGCCCCAGGCCCTGTGGGGAGTTCATGCCCATCTCTGCCCTCCCCTTGCTGTTTCTACCAGGCAGGCCACCACAATGCCCCACACCAGGCTGCTGCTCCTCCTCGCCCTCCTCTGCGCTGCCAAGACCGGACGGGCTCTCCACCTCTACAACACGGCCTCTATCTTCAGCTGCCTCAACGCGGCCCTTGCTGAAGCCCAGAAGAGCCGCCCGGAGGAAAATGCCATCTTGGACAAGCGCAGCTTCGACTCCTCATGGCCAGAGGAAGCTTCCGAGGAGGAGGAGAGGGAGGGCGCAGTGGATGAAGAGATGGGGAAAAGGACATTCCCAGGGGAAGGCCATTACAAATACATCTCCCAAGCCCAGGTAAAGGGGAAGACATACCAAAACCGGGCCAAGAGCGACCGCCGCACCAAGGTCACCCTCTCCCTTGACGTCCCCACCAACATCATGAACATCCTCTTCAACATCGCCAAAGCCAAGAACTTGCGGGCAAAGGCGGCTGCCAATGCACACCTCATGGCCCAAATTGGGCGGCGGAAGTGACCCCCCGTGGGGCAGGGGGGACTTGGAGCAGGGCTGGCTGTGTGGGGCCACCACCCGGCCCCGGCCTGCTGGCCAGAGGGGACTGATGGCCCTGTATGATATCAGTGTTGTATATTTTTGACCCATAGAGCTACCTAACTTTCATATCTCCTCTTCCTCTTTCTCTCCTTCCCGATCTCCTCCGTCCCTCCTCCTCGACATTTCCATGCACGGGGAATGGGCTCATGTCTGCAGCAGGGCAAGGGGACGTGTCACCTCGGGAAGGTCCCTAATTAAAGCTATGATCTCTTGAGTTTCCAATGCTTTGTTCTCCCATCACCTCCACCAGCTGCTCAGCTGGCTCTGTCTAGGTCTGTAGCCTTTCCAGAACATCTTCCAGCTCAACTTCATGGCCCTGTCCCCACCACAGTCCAGACCCTACACCCTCTCAAGTCCCCAAACACAAGCTGTCCCTACACACAGTCATCACGGCACCGGGAAGGGAAAAGCAAGACTGGTCAGGGGACCTCAAGAGGGATTTCCCAGTTTCTCCTCCTGGGGACTCTCCAGGTTTTAAGGTTGTCTTGCAGCCACCCCTTTCCCCACCAGCACCTTCAGCAGTCACAGCTGGGACAGCATCATCCTCCCCATCCACATGGACCTTCACAAGTGTCCCCAGGCCATTGGTTGGCCCTGGCCAGGACCACCTCATGGCCTCAGGTGAGATTGGACCTCAAGAATTGCAGGTGCCTCCCTGGCTGCTCCAGGCTCACCCCATGGGGTCTGTCCATGTTGCCCAGTCTACCCCTGCCCACCTTTCCACCACTCTCCCTTTCCTGGTTGACCTCTCTACCAACCCTGGGGCTTCAGCTCCCCTTACACAGACCATCCCCATTCACCCTGCTCCGCTGAGCCCCAGCTCACCCAGCTCCCACCACTTCACCTTGGACTATTTATCTCTTCCTCTAAATCTCCCTTTCTCTTCACTTCCCAGCCCAGCTCCAAGATGAAACTCCATCTCTTGGCCTCCATCCCTGCAAGTAGCAGGCATGGGAGGTGGAGAGAAATTTGGCCCTTCTTCCCCAGGTGATGTTTGCCAAGAGCAGCAAAGCAGTTCCCACCAGCCCTGTTCAGGTGGCCACAGCATGGCCATGTGGCACACTCCAGGTGGGACATTAAGAGGGCACAGGTCTCCGGTTGAAGGCTTGGCGGATGGATCCACCACCCATCTGTAGAGGCATAGTTGGAGGCATCTCCTATCCGCTCCACTGGACACCCAGAGGAGGCAACACAGCCAAATTCAGCCCCGGTGAGCCCACTGGCAGGTAGCCAAAGGCTCTTAGCTGATCCACAGCCTGGGGACTCAGGACTCAAGTTCAACTGAAGCCTGAAAAGCAAAACCAAAATAATCATAGAATCATAGAATCACTTTGGTTGGAAAAGACCTTTAAGATCATCAAGCCCAACCGTTTACCTAACCCTGCCATCCCACCACTAAACCCTGGCCCTAAGCACCGCATCCATCCTTCTTGAAGAGGCCGACCCCCACCTCACTACCCCCTCCTCTCAGGCAGTTGTAGAGGGCGATCAGGTCTCCCCTCAGCCTCCTCTGCTCCAGACTAAATAACCCCAGCTCCCTCAGCCACTCTTCATAAGCCTTGTGCTCCAGACCCCTCACCAGCTTGGTTGCTCTCCTCTTGACACGTTCCAGCAACGCAATGTCTTTCTTGTAGTGAGGGGCCCAAAACTGAACACAGTATTTGAGGGGCGGCCTCACCAGCACTGAGTACAGGGGCACGATCACTTCCCTACTCCTGCTGTGTCATAGCACACATCTCCAGCAGACAACACACCAACATGCCCACAGCATTTCTGTGCCATGAACTCCTCCTGCCTCAGCTCCAAGCATATGCAGGTGCGACCTTGACTTGTTGCAATCTGCTATAGCTTTGGATTATATGGCCCTTTAGGTACATTTATATAGCTTTACATGTTTTTATAGCCCAAGAGCCTACACATCCAACCCCTTTGGTATATAGAGCTTCTGCTCAGCAGGACATAGGCATTGTCCTCATTTTACACCCAGGGAAACTGAGGCACACATGCCTGCTTACATCTGGTCAGGCAAAGCAGGACAGAGCAATGTTAGACCTGGCCGGGCACCCAGTTGGATGCACTCTCGTCCCTTTGTAGGTTTGGCCAGAGGTGTTCCCAGGTCAGGCTCAGCCTTCCTGATGCACGGGGCTGTCTAGAGAAGCAAGGAGAGATCATAGAATCATAGAATGTTTTGGGTTGGAAGGGACCCTTAGAGGTCATCTAGTCCAACCCCCCTGCAGTGAGCAGGGACACCGTTAACTAGGAGATGGAGGGATTTGCTCAGAACCCAGGGAGAAATCGCTGCTTCGAGGAGAAAGGTGAAGAGATTTTCCCCTGCACTCCCCTGTGAGCTCCAGTGAAGCACAGGCCAAGGCTGGGAACAGGCTCTGCCCCACCACCAGCTGCCCTGGGGATTTGCACCAGCCCTGCTTGAGGTCCTTTCCCCAGCACCAGACAAGGAGAACATCTCAGCCCCGTGGTAGTGCCTAGAAATCAAAATATCACATGCCTAGGGCTCACACTGGGTCTTTCTTCTGCCCCCCTTTAACGAAGTCAACTAACACTGAAGTGACACCATGGCAGCAGATGAGACAAGGTTTTTGCTGGGACCAGGCTGCCCTTGCAGGTGCAAAGCTGGGAGAGGGACAGGGAGTGATGGGGAAAGCAGAGATCCTCCCTCCCCAGCTGCATCCCCACGGGGGAGTCTCACCCACAACCATCACTGGCTTGGACAAACCCTTCCAAAATGAATCCTCCTTCTCAACCACTGCCAAGCAAGAGCAGGGGTTGCTTGGAGGGGCTGAGACGCAGGTGGAGGTTGGAGGAGACAGATTTCCTGAGGAAGCTGGGTGGAAGTAAGAGCACTGAAATCTCCATCAATACCCACCTGGGTCTGGGAGCGTGCAGAGCCAAGGCCACTGTGCTTGGGAAGGACAGCGTTGCTGTTTGGGGTTGAGAGGTGCAGTTCTGTAAAAGCCAGGTGAGGATTTGGTCTTTTCTGCCATTTCAGGCAGGCATGCAACCCAAACTCTCCGTATTGCCCTCAAAACGAGTGGTTTGCTCAGGCGTGGGTGCGCAGCCGCTGCAGGTTCACTCTGGCCAACATATCCTTCTCCTTCCATTGCCAGGTCCCTTCCAGCCTCTTCATAATTCTTCCCCCAGGCAGCAAGGTCTTCCCTGGCCTCCAGGAACCCCCTTGTCCTCCTTCTCCTCCTCCACGTGCCAATGCTCAAAGACCTCCTTCACCCACATCAGAGCAAACCAGAGATGCTGCAGTGATTTAGGCAACCCCCAAGGACAGCAGGTCCTGCCTGCCCCATCCTGGGATCAAGCAAGCCCCATATCCATCTGGCTGATGAAAGGATTCAGGCAGTGTAACTCAACGGGCATTGAGCATCTGGCCAAAAATGAACCCCCAGTGCGCAAGGAGGTACCCACTTTCGCATCCATGGGGGCTTTGCTAGAAAACCCAAGCTGATTTCCAGCAGTGACCATGGGCAGAGTTAGCCCATGTACCTCGAGACAGAGAGCACCGGGGACAGCCATTAACATACCCCTGCCATCCCACCCCCAACCCCTGGCCCTCAGCTCCGCCTCTGCCCGGCTGTTAAATCCCCCAGGGCTATGGGGACTCATGTGCTGAAACCCATTGGTGAGGTGTTGGAAGCTTGAAATGGTTGTGGAAGGGGTGGCTAAAATGAGGATGGCATTTTATAGCTTCCCATCATGATGGAGATGATAATTTTCTTTTAATTGCCTTTTTTTTTTTCCCACCAACATGTTAGAAAAATAATGGAATGAAATGGCTTTTCTTCTGGGAGGACAAGTGCCAAATAATTAATTGGCCATAGAATTCAAATGACACTTGAGTGTCTTATGAAGCCGAGGGGGGGTTGAGGGGCGGCCCCCCCAGTGCCCAGCACAGGGGCACGCTCCCTGCCCTGCTCCTGCTGGCCACACCACTCCTGAGACAAGCCAGGATGCTGCTGGCCCTCTTGGCCACCTGGGCACCCTGCTGGCTCATATTCAGCCCCCTCTCGACCAACCCCCCCAGGGCCTTTTCTGCCAGGCAGCTTTCCAGCCCCTCTTCCCCACACCACGTAACAGCCTCAGCATCTCCGATGAATTTTGGCCCCTAACAGCTGTTATCCCTATTTTTGAGAAGGCACACCAAGCAACAGAGAAGTCCCATCTCCCACCAGTTTCCCAGCAGCACACGGGTCCTGTGCTCCCCTCTAGCAGTGGGACCCAGCTCCATGAGGCAAGCTGGGGAGAGCTTCGGTCTCTGCACTGTTGATTGCCTGGGAGGGAGGCACTGAAAAATTCAGGTAGCCGGGTTGCATTTGAGGAGCCAGCACTGCCCTGGAGCTGGAGAGTCCAGCCTTCTCATGGCACCACTGCTGGAGAAGCCATTCCAACCTCATGACATTATCCCAAGGCAGGAGCCCCATCCTGCAACTCCTGTCCATCCCCAGGAGATTCAACAGATGTGCTGTCTGCATTTGGAAAAGGGTGACGGAAAGTAGAAAGCAGATTTTGAGCCCTGAGGATTGCCAAGAAAGTCTTAAAAATGAGCCTCATTCTTTAAATAAATAAATAAAGAAAGAAAGAAACCCACATACTCCTCCCAAAAAAACCCATTCAAAGTTCTTTTCCTGATTTCACAGAAAGTGCTCTTAGACGCCATGGGGAAAGCAATGCTGAATGAGTATTTAAAAGGCAAAGAAACTCCAAACATCTGCAGGTGCAAGTCCTTCAAAGCACCTTGATTACCCCACAGGGCTGTCCCTCCCAGGGCAGAAACATCTGAACCCTTTGCCAGCAGGTGCCTGCACGAGGAGGGGGGCAGGAGGAGGAAGCCCTTTAGCAGAAAGCCCAGCTCTACCTGCTATAAAAGGTCCCAGAGGGAGGCAGGTAGGGTGTGC